ATATATATATATATATATATATATATATATATTTATATATATTTATATCGGCGCTGGAGGTCGTTCAATCGTCCCAAGTGGGGAAATTATCCTGCTCGACGAACAACGACGATTGATTGGCGGTTGCCGGCCTCTGGCTTGGTGTTCCACCGAAGTTCGTGCTGCCAAACACAGGCTGTCCAAACGCATCCAATTGCTGGCCCTCGTAGATACTGCGGTCGGTCGTCGTGTACGACGGATGCGTTTGTTGCGGTTGTTGTTTCTGCGTGTCTGTCACTGTCAGCTCGATATTCCCGGCTGACACGGTCTCCTCAAGGTTGTCCGAGGTGCTTCCCTCTTCTAGACTGCTGTGCTTAATGCCGTAGTAGAAGTACATGATGAAACCTACGATTTAAAGTTTTAAGTTTCATTAGTTTTCATTAGTCTAATGTCAAGCAATGGATGTTGTTGCAAGAAATTGGAGAAAAGAATTAGTAGTATTCGTTATTATGTTTAAAATACCTCATGGTACAACCTAAGTGTCTGATAGAAATATAATGTTTGAGTTCTGTTAGGCTCTCTCTGCTAAGCTTCTCAACTAGGTGTAAGGAATAAATTCGTAGATCAAGTTTACCGAGGATCATCCAGAGAGTGAATCTGACGAGAGTCAGGATGCTCAGCTTGAAGATGAGGTATATGTTTACGGTGACGGCAATCGCAGGTACGAATGGGAGTCCCGGTGTCATGAACATCACGCTATTTCTACAAAGATATTCCAATTTTAAAATAAACAGGTAAGTGAACGAAAATTCGAACAAAAATTTCTGCCTCTGAAATTTACCTATTTTGTGGTTTCCTACTGATGGCAAGCAATACTCCAATTATGGCAAAGAGGAATGCGAACATCATTATCGTAGTAAATGTCCCCATGTTTCCTAAAATGAACAAAATTGATGTTGACTGCTAAATATCGATTGAGAAGATTACAGAAAAATGAAAGGCAATGCGTTTATTTCTCTATGGCTCACCCATGCCACAAACTATAATCAAATCGAAAATGACAATCAGCAAATAGAGCACGCCGACTAGTTTCATGACGTAGCGACCTGAAGCTTCCGTCGCTGGGCCTCTGTCCACCCAGGGAAAGATGGCAGGACAGAGATACTGTGCTGCCTAAAATGGCAACGATATATTTGAGAAAAAAAATAAAAATTTACAATTAAGAATTGTAACGGAATATTCCACAGTCGATTTTTTTTTTAACTTGAGAGCGAAAGGAATTTTACAATGCTTTCAAATTCAATACCTGCAATCGACGTTGGAGGTAATTCAAAGGTGGTCCAATTATTGGCGTGTTTCCTGGATACTGATGTGCACTCCCACAACTGGATGCAGCTGCAGCTGCATGCACGCTACCATAGAATTTATTTTCAGTTCTATCACTGACCAAATATTGATCATCTTTGCCCAGACCAACTTCATCCTCTTCTGCGCCATAAGTGTCGTCTGAATCTGGCGAAGAACTATTGCATCTTCTAACTCTTCTCACCTGGGAAACAAGCGATTCATCTTGCACATTCTTACTATTGTTACCTTGTCATCACTGTTTCTTGAAATTTTACCATGATACGTTGGCCACTATTTGCTGCAGTAAGATCAGATTGAGCAGCCTGGACAGAATTCAGTGCAGTGGTTAGCTGATCAGGTCTCAGCTCCTTCCCATAAGTCACTTGTCCATTTCCTTGATTTTCTTTAGTTGGCGATCGACAGGGCGTTCTTAAACTTTGTGGTAGTAACTCTACCAAGTTTGTAGAATGAGGTTGATAGCGTAGAATCAACACACAGGTAGACACTAGGGTGTAAGCCAGCAAGGTACCTTAACCAGAAGTTAACGAAAATCTTAATTCCACGTACTTCCACTGTATGATAACTACTATTTAGATATTTAAATTTATATTTGAAAAAGTCAACTTTGAAAGAACTAGTTAGTAGA